TCAGTGTCCTCCACCCCTCTCTGCCAATCCCTCCACTGGCCTCCATTCAGTGTCCTCCACCCCTCTCTGCCAATCCCTCCACTGGTCTCCATTCAGTGTCCTCCACCCCCCTCTGCCAATCCCTCCACTGGTCTCAATTCAGGTCCTCCACCCCTCTCTGCCAATCCCTCCACTGGCCTCCATTCAAGGTGCCCCACCCCTCTCTGACAATCCCTCCACTGGCCTCCACTCAGTGTCCTCCACCCCTCTCTGCCAATCCCTCCACTGGCCTCCATTCAGTGTCCTCCACCCCTCTCTGCCAATCCCTCCACTGCCCTCCATTCAGTGTCCTCCACCCCTTTCTGCCAATCCCTCCACTGGCTTCCATTCAGTGTCCTCCACCCCTCTCTGCCAATCCTCCACTGGCCTCCACCCCTCTCTGCCAATCCCTCCAATGGCCTCCATTCAGTGTCCTCCACCCCTCTCTGCCAATCCCTCCACTGGCCTCCACTTAGTGTCCTCCACCCCTCTCTGCCAATCCCTCCACTGACCTCCATTCAGTGTCCTCCACCCCCCTCTCTGCCAATCCCTCCACTGACCTCCATTCAGTGTCCTCCACCCCCCTCTCTGCCAATCCCTCCACTGACCTCCATTCAGTGTCCTCCACCCCCCTCTCTGCCAATCCCTCCACTGACCTCCATTCAGTGTCCTCCACACCCCTCTCTGCCAATCCCTCCACTGACCTCCATTCAGTGTCCTCCACCCCCCTCTCTGCCAATCCCTCCACTGGCTTCCATTCAGTGTCCTCCACCCCCCTCTCTGCCAATCCCTCCACTGACCTCCACTCAGTGTCCTCCACCCCCCTCTCTGCCAATCCCTCCACTGGCTTCCACTCACCTAACGAATAAAATTCAAAATACTAACAAATTACAAAGCCATCCACAACTCTGCCCCTGGCTACATCACCAACCTGGTCTCAAAATATCAACCAAACCGCTCTCTTCGATCCTCCCTAGACCTTCTACTCTCTAGTTCCCGTGTCACCTCTTCCCATGCTCACCTCCAGGACTTCTCCCGAGCTTCTCCCATCCTATGGAACTCCCTACCCCAACCTCTCCAGCTGTCTCCTAATCTATCCACCTTTAGACGATCCCTGAAAACCTTTCTCTTTAAAGAAGCCTATTCTGCTTCTACCTAGTAAACTGCCATTTGTTTCCTCCATCAGCCCATCCCCCCCCACAGCGATTACGTTTTGTATCACTCAACCCCCTCCTCCTAGATTGTAAGCTCCCAGGATCAGGCCCTCCCTCTTAGATTGTAAGCTCCCAGGATCAGGCCCTCCCTCTTAGATTGTAAGCTCCCAGGATCAGGCCCTCCCTCTTAGATTGTAAGCTCCCAGGATCAGGCCCTCCCTCCTAGATTGTAAGCTCCCAGGATCAGCCCCTCCCTCCTAGATTGTAAGCTCCCAGGATCAGGCCCTCCCTCTTAGATTGTAAGCTCCCAGGATCAGGGCCCTCTGGTACCAAACTGTATTGTAGCTGTCCTGTCTGCCTTCATGTTGTACAGCGCTGCGCACACTGTTGGCGCCATATAAATCCTGTATAATAATAATGTATTAGGTCCAGTCATGTTCAGTAGGACCAATCATACGTAGTTTGCTGCAGATTCCTTTGGTAAGGTTCCCCCTCCCCCAGTGATGGTGGATTCTCCTCCCTGAAGATAGTCTGAAGGTCAGGCTTCCAGTTCTTGGCCCCCAGTTGGAGACTGAAGTTCTTTTTGGACACACAGCTTGCTTCTCATTCATCACATCCGATGTCTATCAGAAGTCATCTGTCTGCATTACACATTGGGACCATCCCAACCAATCAGAATCCTTGGTTCTCAAATTCGACTTTTGGAGCCTGCTTGGGTTCTGTCATAATCATTTCATATATATTTTATATTTCCATCTGAGAGGGAGGAGGACACTTTGACATTTAGTGTGGCTCAGCCACCTCATGGTTCCTCACCTTGCAGGCCAGGAATGGGGGAGCAGGCTGAGCCCCTGAATGTCCCAGGAGCTCATGGAGGTTCTCAGACTGCTGAGGGTACGATCAGTTTTCACAGATGGCCGATAGGGATGAAAATCCAGCTGTTGTTCCTCATACAACAACACATGGCCTAGACCTTCTATAGGGGTGACCATGTTCCACTTCCATGGTTTATCCCCATGGACTGTGGTCACTCTTCAACAATGAAGTGCATCAAAATTGGACTCCGGTTGTCCACATGTACATTCCAGGTGGACAGATTGTCCAGGTTGTGGGATGCCAGTTTTAATGTTGGACTTTGCAGGGGAGGTCTTGACTATGGAGCTGTTCCATGGCTGCTCAGAGAAATGTGGAAGTAGAGGCCGGAGACACAATTGTGGACCCAAATGGGCTTTGTGCTTTCACCTTCTGAAGTACCAAAGGAAATGACCGCTTCCATCAGAACTTTTTCTAGAACATTTAGCCTTGATTTCCCCCCTTGTCGGCCTTCCCCCTCTCCTCTTTCTCGCCATGCTTTCGATTAGTTGACCTTTGCTATCCCTCCTTCCATATATAACTGGCGGAGGCAGGAGACATTGTTGTCTGTTATTCTACACGTCTACAATCTTCCAACAATTGTTAGGCAGCTTACCAGAAACCCCTCTACCGTACATAGGTCTGTTCTGAGTAATTCCAAATTCTCCAGAGACGCCGTGGCGCGGTCAGGTGACCAGCGAGGAACAGCTGCTGTCCCCAGTGATGGGTTCAGACGTCTTCTGTGTCGTTATAAAATTACAACATCCAGAGAAGACTCAGTGATTTGTCACACATCACGTATCATCTGTCTACGCCGAAAACGCCCGATGCCAACCCAGACCCACAAGCCTCCAGGCACCCATCTGTAGGCACAAGTGTGAGGCATCAAGTCTACCAGAATAGCAAGGGTGGCTTGGGAAAGATTTCTAAATGTTCCTTTCATCTTTCATCCAAGAGGGTGAATAAAATCCCCCCCATCCATCCCCCACCAGAGCAATAGAAATTCCAGGAACGGGAAGAAAACACGGGGATGGGATGGGGGGAGCCCTCATCGGGAGGGGGTTGAGGACATTATCTGGAACATTAGAAGCTGTGAGACATGATGTAGGAGAATCTGGAGTTTATTAATAGTACGGAGGAGACAATAAGTACAATTCATGTTCCTTGAGTCCGGGATGATAGAAACTTCCGGAGATTAATTATGAAGACACTGTAGGTTTCCATTTCCCAGCACCTCACTTTACGACAAGAACACGAGAAGGAGACATCACAGCATTGCCAGAGGAAAACCTGATAGAAGGGCATTTTATTCCTCCAAAACGTAGAAATATATCTGTCATTCCGAAACATTGTCTTCATTCTGTACATACGCTGGTGTTTGGAGAACGAGGACCGGCCAAGGGAGGGCGCTGACTATTGGCCGGGTTCTCCCATAGAGGGGAGGGAAATTTGGGGTGCTTATAATTCTATAAAGTAAATGTAAATTATTCCGTGGGGCTCCTCCATTGTAGATGATGGCATTCTGTGGGGCTCCTCCATTGTAGATGATGGCATTCTGTGGGGCTCCTCCATTGTAGATGATGGCATTCTGTGGGGCTCCTCCATTGTAGATGATGGCATTCTGTGGGGCTCCTCCATTGTAGATGATGGCATTCTGTGGGGCTCCTCCATTGTAGATGATGGCATTCTGTGGGGCTCCTCCATTGTAGATGATGGCATTCTGTGGGGCTCCTCCATTGTAGATGATGGCATTCTGTGAGGCTCCTCCATTTTAGATGATGACATTCTGTGGGGCTCCTCCATTGTAGATGATGGGATTCCGTGGGGCTCCTCCATTGTAGATGATGGCATTCTGTGGGGCTCCTCCATTGTAGAAGATGGCATTCTGTGGGGCTCCTCCATTGTAGACGATGGCATTCTGTGGGGCTCCTCCATTGTAGATTGTAGATGATGATGATGGCATTCTGTGGGGCTCCTCCATTGTAGACGATGGCATTCTGTGGGGCTCCTCCATCGTAGATGATGGCATTCTGTGGGGCTCCTCCATTGTAGATGATGGCATTCTGTGGGGCTCCTCCATTGTAGACGATGGCATTCTGTGGGGCTCCTCCATTGTAGATGATGGCATTCTTTGGGGCCCCTCCATTGTAGATGATGGCATTCTGTGGGGCTCCTCCATTGTAGACGATGGCATTCTGTGGGGCTCCTCCATTGTAGATGATGGCATTCTGTGGGGCTCCTCCATTGTAGATGATGGCATTCTGTGAGGCTCCTCCATTTTAGATGATGACATTCTGTGGGGCTCCTCCATCGTAGACGATGGGATTCCGTGGGGCTCCTCCATTGTAGATTGTAGAAGATGGCATTCTGTGGGGCTCCTCTATCGTAGATGATGGCATTCTGTGGGGCTCCTCCATCGTAGACGATGGCATTCTGTGAGGCTCCTCATATGTAACACGCTACAACAGAAGACAAAGCTTTATCACGTGTCCGGCTAGCTCTGTACAACTTGGAAGGGTTCCCTCTGAAGGACCCCAGTTCATGGTAATACTATATCTGTGGATTCCAAACACAGAATCCATTGTACCCCATTTACCATACTAAGCCCATGTCATGGTTACATGGTATGTATGTCATGTATGTTATGTTCTCATGTTCTGAGGGATAATTGACATTTGAATATTGTGTTGACTTTTCTCCCTTGAATTATTTTTGGCTGATAGCTTTGGCAATGTTTACTCTCGCTGATTTTTTTTTTTTCTGTGAAATAACGTGTTTTTAGGTTTTACTAAACAATGTTCTCTTTTTTTCTCTTCTTCTTCATCATGATCATCCTCCTCCTCCTCCTCCTCATTATCATCGCCATCTCCTTCATTCACACACTTGAAGGTCGTGACCCGCTCAGCTCATTTGGACACCGGCCAACTTCTAAGAAGAGACGCAAATCCCGGACAGCCTTCACCAACCATCAGATCTATGAACTGGAGAAGCGTTTTCTCTACCAGAAGTACTTGTCCCCCGCAGACCGGGACCATATTGCCCAGCAGCTGGGACTTAGCAATGCCCAGGTGATAACCTGGTTCCAGAACAGGCGGGCTAAGCTAAAGAGGGACCTGGAGGAGATGAAGGCTGACGTAGAGTCCCTGAAGAAGCTTCCACCACATACTCTGGAGAAACTGGTCTCCATGCCGGAGGTTGGAGTGGGAGAAGAGGACGATGAAGCCATGGGAAGAGGATGTTCCCCGACTTCACAAGGACTTTACCTCCAATCGCCTCGGGGTTCCTCCATGGAGCGCACAGCTGATGAGTTCTCAGAAGAAGAGGAAATAGAGGTGGACATCTAGGGGGGGGCGCTGGGCTGGGAGGAACTGATGATACAGGACAGCAATGTTCTGCTGGATCTTCTGTTGGGGGGGAGGGCTAAGGTGCAGTCCCACTAGGAACCTAGCAAGAAACACCATCACCCATCAAATACTATGACCACCAATGGGTACACCTGCATCTACCTAGTCCATGGACAATTCATGTCTACAGAGCAGGGCCCATATATAAAGAATAAGAAAAACTGTTTTCCTCCTACAATGTTCCTGATATCCCAGTAAAGTGGTCCTGGTATAAGTCCTGGGTGTCACGTATGACCAGGCATAATGGGAGAAGTCTGGTGGGCTTAGTAATGTGCTCGATCTTTAGATCTATAGGGGACCCAACTGAACTTCCAAGATGGCTGTGAAGCCGAAGTCCTATATCAGGGTGTTATGCAGGCCCCCTGTGTCATGGAGTGGTATGCTAGTGGGTCACGTGACACACAGTTCCCACGTACAGGACTCAAAGATGGCGTGTATGCTGGCGCTGTAAGTCCTCCTCTCTGGTCATCTGCTCCATAATCACGGCACAGGTAGGGGTATTCCACTTCATTGGTAGATGTAACATAAAAGTCCAACCCCTGAGAAGCTTTACATGGAACACCAATTATTTAGGGACTGAGGGTGCAAATCCCCCCCCCCCCCCCAAGGAAAAAGGTAAAAACTCCATGCAGGCAGAGCCCAGGTTTTAAACTCAGGACCCCAGTGCTGGGTATCTTCATACACCAGTCAAGTGATACACCTGCCAGGGATGGAGGTCCAGAAACAGAAGGATCCATAGATAGGAATCCATAAAAGGGGGTCAAGGTATTGGGTCACAATCCGAAGACAGGGCTCCAGGGATGGGACAAAGAGCCCCACGGACAGGAGTTCAGGAACAGCAATCCAGAGATGGAGTCTCACTGGCCAGGGGTTCAGGGTTTGGATACGTTGCCAGGGATCCAGAAAAGGGTTTGAGACAGAATCCAAAGATAGAGATTCAGGGATAGGATGAGAAGCTCAATGGGCAGAAGTCCATAAATGGCAATCCAGAGGTGGAGGCTCAATATACAGGGGTTCAGGCTGGAGATACGTGGACAGGGGTCCAGAAGAGGGATTGGGACAGAATCCAAAGACAGGGGTCCAGGGATGGGACAAGGAGCTCAATGGAGTGAATACCTGGAATAGGAATCCAGGGATGGAGGCTCAATAAAGAGAGGTTCAGGCTGGAGATACAAAGACAGGGATCATGAAAAGGGATTGGGACAGAATGCAAAGACAGAGATTCAGAGATAGGATGAGGAGCTCAATGGACAGAAGTCCATAAATGGCAATCCAGAGGTGGAGGCTCAGTAGACAGGGGTTCAAGCTGGAGATACGTGGACAGGGATCCAGAAAAGTGATTGGGAAGGAATCCAAAGACAGGGGTCCAGGGGTGGGAGGTCAATGGAGAGACTTCCAGGAATAGCAATCCAGAGATGGAGGCTCAATAAAGAGGGGTTCGGGATGGAGATAGAAAGACAGGGATCATGAAAAGGGATTGGGACAGAATCCAGACAGAGATCCAGGAATGGGATGAGAAGCTCACTGGATAGGAAGTCCCAGAACAATAATCCAGAGATGGAGGCTCAATAGACAGGGGTTCAGGAACAGCAATCCAGTGATGGAGGTTTAATAGACGGGTTCAGGAACAGCAATCCAGTGATGAAGGTTTAATAGACAGGTTTAGGAACAGGGGACAATCCAGTGATGGAGGTTTTAATAGACGGGTTCAGGAACAGCAATCCAGTGATGGAGGCTCAATAGACAGGAGTTCAGGAACAGCAATCCAGTGATGGAGGCTCAATAGACGGGTTCAGGAACAACAATCTAGAGATGGAGTCTCACTGGCCAGGGGTTCAGGGTTCGAATACGTTGCCAGGGATCCAGAAAAGGGTTTGAGACAGAATCCAAAGATAGAGATTCAGGGATAGGATGAGAAGCTCACTGGACAGGAAGTCCCGGAACAGAGATGGAGGCTCATTAGACAGGGGTCCAACAGCAATCCAGAGATGGAGGCTCAATAAAGAGGGGTTCGGGATGGAGATAGAAAGACAGGGATCATGAAAAGGGATTGGGACAGAATCCAGACAGAGATCCAGGAATGGGATGAGAAGCTCACTGGACAGGAAGTCCCAGAACAATAATCCAGAGATGGAGGCTCCTCATTAGACAGGGGTTCAGGAACAGCAATCCAGGGATGGAGGCTCACTGGTTGGGTTCAGGGTTGGGGATATGCGGACAAGGATCCAGGACCAGAGTCCAGGGACTGCACCTTAGCTGCTGGTCAGTGGATGGGTCACCCAATTCCGAGGTGATAGAGAGAAAATATGTAATGGATGCAGAGTTTTCTGAACTGTGACAAGGACACAATCCAGGACTCGTAGTCCACCAATATACATGGTCTGTGATCATTCAATAAATTATCGATGTTTTCATACTCACCTGTGTGTAGTGACTGTAGCCTACAGATCCAAGCTGGGGAGGTGGTGGGGGGATGGTGGGCAGTGTTGTTCATTATCAATGTGCAGATTACTTCCATTTCCATCTTCTGCGCCGGCTCCCTCTCATGGCCACGTTGGTGGTATTCTTGGTATCCAAGCCTCCCTCATTTGTACCATGCAGGATGGGGGATAAGGTCTGACCCTCCTCTAAGGGTTTTATCAGGTCCAGCTGTGGTCAGATATATCTCTAGATCTCATATGGGTTTTATCAGGTCCACCTGTGGTCAGATATATCTCTAAATTTCATAAAAGTATTATGAGTTCTAACTGTGGTCAGATATGTCTCTAGATCTCATAAGGGTTTAACAAGGTCCAACTGTGGTCAGATATGTTTCTAGATCTCATATGGGTTTTATCAGGTCCACCTGTGGTCAGATATGTTTCTAGATCTCATATGGGTTTTATGGTCCACCTGTGGTCAGATATACCTCTAGATCTCATATGGGTTTTATCAGGTCCACCTGTGGTCAGATATGTTTCTACATCATCTCATATGGGTTTTATCTGGTCCAACTTTGGTCAGATATGTTTCTACATCTCATATGGGTTTTATCAGGTCCACCTGTGGTCAGATATGTTTCTAGATCTCATATGGGTTTTATCAGGTCCAACTGTGGTCAGATATATGTTTCTACATCTCATATGGGTTTTTTTATCAGGTCCACCTGTGGTCAGATATGTTTCTAGATCTCATATGGGTTTTATCAGGTCCAACTGTGGTCAGATATATGTCTACATCTCATATGGGTTTTATCAGATGTCCACCTGTGGTCAGATATGTGTTACTAGATCTCATATGGGTTTTATCAGGTCCACCTGTGGTCAGATATACCTCTAGATCTCATATGGGTTTTATCAGGTCCACCTGTGGTCAGATATGTTTCTAGATCTCATATGGGTTTTATCAGGTCCACCTGTGGTCAGATATACCTCTAGATCTCATATGGGTTTTATCAGGTCCACCTGTGGGTCAGATATGTTTCTAGATCTCAAATGGGTTTTATCAGGTCTACCTGTGGTCAGATATATCTTTAGATCTCATCTCATTGAGGTTTCTATAGCAGATGATGGGTTGCTGGTGGATGACCTCTTTATGTCTTGTAGAGTATAGAGATGGTTGATGGGACAAACGCTGAGCTCCAGTAGCTTCTCATCAATGTCACCTGTACCTGGAGCTGCCTGAGACCTTAAGCGGTGGTACTGTGTAGCCCAGTTGTCCGCGGTGACTCAGGATCCTGGTGGTTGGCCGATTTCTGATGTCTCCGAGAGAACGGCGACTCCTTTACTTCTTTTTCCAAATTTGGAAGATTTCCTCAAACAATGAAAATGTGACTCTGTCCCAGCCTGTGCCTTCCAGCGCCGTTCCATGTACACCAATGGGGGACCATCTTCACAAATGACTAGAATCGGCTGAAGGCGGGGCGGTAGACTTGGAAGGGTGGTGCACTTTGAGGGGCGGTGCTCTTGGAGGGGCGGTGGACTTGGAGGGGCAGTGGACTTGGAGGGGCGGTGGACTTGGAGGGGCGGTGGACTTGGAGGGTGGGAGGGGCGGTGCACTTAGAGGGCGGTGCTCTTGGTGGGGCGTGCACTTGGAGGGGCGGTGGACTTGGAGGGGCGGTGCGCTTGTAGGGGCGGTGAGCTTGTAGGGGCGGTGAGCTTGTAGGGGCGGTGAGCTTGGAGGGGCGGGGGACTTGTAGGGGCGGGGGACTTGTAGGGTCGGTGGACTTGTAGGGCCGGTGCGGTGGGCGGTTGTAGGGCCGGTGCGCTTGTAGGGGCGGTGCGCTTGTAGGGGCGGTGAGCTTGTAGGGGCGGGGGACTTGTAGGGTCGGTGGACTTGGAGGGGCGGTAAACTTGTAGGGCCTGTGGACTAGTAGGGGCGGGGGACTTGGAGGGGCGGTGGACTTGGAGGGTTGGTGCACTTGGAGGGGCGGGTGCACTTGGAGGGGCGGGGGACTTGGAGGGGCCGTGGACTTGGAGGGGCCGTGGACTTGGAGGGGCCGTGGACTTGGAGGGGCGGTGGACTTGCGGTGGACTTGGAGGGGCGGTGGACTTGGAGGGGCGGTGAACTAGGAGGGGCTGTGGACTAGGAGGGGCGGTAAACTTGTAGGGGCTGTGGACTAGGAGGGGCGGGGGACTTGGAGGGGCCGTGGACGTGGACTTGGAGGGGGGCGGGGGACTTGGAGGGGCC